CTAACTCCCTCAAGGTAGAAATATTTTTATAGACACTAATTTTACATAATTTCTCCAAAGAAGCAATCGAAAGTTCAACACAATCAAATAAATTAATATACAAATATGAATAAAATAATTTTCTTGGTATTACGGTACAAAGATGTCTACTTGACTACCTGTTATGGAATACCTGTTATTTTAAAGTGTGATCTATAGGTATTTGCATAAATATGTCTGCTGACTATAGTTGCTTGTAGTAGACATACAGTGGAGGTTTTGTCGCAAACGACCATAGTCGCCTGTAGGATAGAGAGATCTCTTTGTTGCTCTCGTGAAAGGGTTAAATCGTAAAATATTTTCTATAGAAACATAATGGGTGTCCTAATACTTACGAAAGTTAGTGTACACTCAACGAACGTTCGCCGCTGATTCATTCTGAAACGAAGCTACATACGAAAAAATGTTACTCCGCATTTTTAACTAATTTCCTTTTTCAACTAGATTCACCTCTTCTCATGTTGCACCACTGGTCCAGGGCACACCCTGTAGAAACATCACCGAATACAATTTCTCCTCCACAACGACGAATCCTGATCGAAATGCGCGGCCCGATCGAAAAATCGTCCGGAGAAGAAGAAAATCGCGGGGAGAAGAACCGTGCTCCAGTTTCAATTCTCATTTTCATTTTATCACATATACACGGTGGTTGAAAATCCGTCGTCGCAGAGTAGGAGGGGCCTAGTTTTCCTCGTTTAACCGTGCATAAGCGTAATCCGGATGCCTGCGTCTCTCAAGAAACTCAGGCTCCGGCGTCGGGCGGCGTCGTCGTTGCGCGGCATGCTGAAGCTTAACAGCACCGGCACACGGAACTTTTCGTATTAATAATCGGTATAATAATTAGTATTTTCATGCGCGACTTAGCAGGAAGGACGCGGCCCCGCGAGACAGAGAACAAGCCTCGAAGCGAAGCGCTGGAGTGAGAAAGAGAAATAGAGAGAGAGAGAGAGAGAGGGAGCATCAGGGAGTAGCAGCTCTGAACTTCGGTGGATCTTGATTTTAAGTTCGGGCGAAGGAGGCGCATATTTCACCGCGCTAATGTCCCGCCAGATAAACTACAATATTAGCTGCCTTCGCCCGTGATTTAATTTAACTTTGCCCCGGCGCGACATCCGCCTCTAGCTTTCGGCTGCCACCCGCTTCAGCCTGGTTAACCAGCAACCAGACCAACCACACTGCACCGTATCGTCGACATGTGTTCCTGGTTTATAGTTTTCGAGGCTTGGATAAGCGGATTCTAAAGAAATTACGAGCTGTGACAATAAAGTTTCGAGGATAATTCGTTTGGGAATTTTCTGTTGATAATGAAAGAAACGTGAGGATATCGGCTTCGCGGTGTAGGGGAGAGTGGGGGAAATACGTAATTGCGGGGGTAAAAGTGGGGGTAATTGCCAATTACAAATACACAACGTGAACAGTTCCTCCTTTTGCAACATGATCGCTCGTACCGAATTAGGTTGCCAATGTAAAATAGTTGACACGTACAGTGATCGAGGTGAAAATTATTGAAGATTTTTGCTCGTCTTCGTCTAAGTTTTTGAAGAAAGTGAGTGAGTATAGCTTTTGTATTTGTAATTATCTTAGTACTAATGTTTAAAAACACAAAAATACAAATTAAGGATTAATTTGAAACCAGTATATTTTCTATTGGATGTTTCTAACTTGAAATTCTCTCTATTGTTTTTGTTTCTCACTTTATGGGGATTTTCACCTACACTGCGGAGTATAACTAGCAACAATACAATTTTCAAGAGTTTTGGTGGTTTAAGAAATGTCTTCTAAGTAGTAATAATATTACGTACAAGCAGATCCGCATTTATACTTTTGGAGGCTTGAAAAGAAGAAATTCATTTCACAACTGAGTCACGATTGATTCAAAATGGCGGCCCATATTGGAATTTTCAGTGTGGAAAATAGGAAAAAGTCGCATAATCCTTGCTCACTTTTTCACGTTAACTTACAATTTATAGAATATTTGTCCGAATGTAAAAAATGATTTTCACACCTCCCTGAAAAATCCGATATTTCATATTACACCACCTAACCTAAAATTCCATCCTCAAGGAACATTCGAACGTTGCCTCGTCCTCGTATCAAAATCCTTCCGCTTGAAAGCAACGCCATTCTCTGCCAGCTTAAGAACAATAGCATTAAAAAAGCTAAGAATCTCGGTTAAAAGTCCGAGCGAGAGTACGTGTTTCGTGAATCTTCCACGGTCGTCAGAGGCCATTACGGGACACAGAGAACCGGGTGAAAACCAATGAACGCGGAGGCAAACAAACTTGGCACTCGCGATTATTCCCCGAAGAATTAGGATGGCATTCAGCCGTCTTGAAAATCATGCCGGCATTGTCGCCTGTCCTTCGATGCCTTCACTGCTTCTGAAGCTTTTCTTGCCTCTTCTTCTTCAGCGGCGCTACCGAAGTAAAAGCGACGGTACGAAGAGGCGGAGTGAGGAACGACGACAGCGAGAGAGAGTCAAGTTTTCGAATGTCAACGATAACGAGATTAGCGCGACGAGAAACGGTAATCAGGAATAAAAATGCTACGACCGACGGCATTTACGCTAACTAATCTGCTTCAGGAGGCGAGAGGCGGTAACGGAGTTAGGACCAGCCAGGCCCGCGTTTCTACGCTGGGTTTTCGTCGCTCGGTTGGCTTGTTAGCTGGATAATTGGCCATTTTTATGCTAAGCAGACCCACGGCTGTTACGCCGCCTCGCATTCTCGTTTCCGCTTTTCTTACCGCCGCTCTTGTTCCCGATTGATCGTCCCCAGTTTTTGTCTTCCTTCAGCTCGGAGAATTGCTTCTTAAAATGTTGGAATTTCAAAGGAGTAACGGTATTGTGTGTGGTTGAAGGGTTTATTTTCGTTTCGTAAATGTTATATATTAATGGGTTGTGTAATTAATATGTATCGAGACACTGTGTTTTGTATACCCTGTATATTGTATGTCTTCGTATTTGGTAGAAGTTGGGTACTAATGTGTGTCGGGGAACAGTGTTTTGTATAGTTGAAAGAATTAGTTTTCGGTAGAAGTTAATAAGAGGAATTTTTATGGGACTTTTATCGAGCACCCTGTATATCGTTGTTCATATCAAGTGAATAAATCTTCAAAATTCTTGGCGTAAAATGGAGTGAAAATTAATTTTAGAATCGACAGGTGGTTTGAATTTTTCCTTGTTAATGTGTCTTTAAATTTACATTATTTCTTTTAGAATATGTATACATTTTCATTCTCGACCAATTTTCTCGCTTTCTCTTTCAAAGAAAAATACCTACTAATTTTCTAGTTAGAACTATAGGGCTAGATTTTTCTTGGCTTCATTTTCTTCATACCCTTCGTCTAAGAT